TGTGTCTGTGTCTGTGTCTGTGTCTGTGTCTGTGTCTGTGTCTGTGTCTGTGTCTGTGTCTGTGTCTGTGTCTGTGTCTGTGTCTGTGTCTGTGTCTGTGTCTGTGTCTGTGTCTGTGTCTGTGTCTGTGTCTGTGTCTATGTCTATGTCTATGTCTATGTCTATGTCTATGTCTATGTCTATGTCTATGTCTATGTCTATGTCTATGTCTATGTCTATGTCTATGTCTATGTCTATGTCTATGTCTATGTCTATGTCTATGTCTATGTCTATGTCTATGTCTATGTCTATGTCTATGTCTATGTCTATGTCTATGTCTATGTCTATGTCTATGTCTATGTCTATGTCTATGTCTATGTCTATGTCTATGTCTATGTCTATGTCTATGTCTATGTCTATGTCTATGTCTATGTCTATGTCTATGTCTATGTCTATGTCTATGTCTATGTCTATGTCTATGTCTATGTCTATGTCTATGTCTATGTCTATGTCTATGTCTATGTCTATGTCTATGTCTATGTCTATGTCTATGTCTATGTCTATGTCTATGTCTATGTCTATGTCTATGTCTATGTCTATGTCTATGTCTATGTCTATGTCTATGTCTATGTCTATGTCTATGTCTATGTCTATGTCTATGTCTATGTCTATGTCTATATCTATATCTATATCTATATCTATATCTATATCTATATCTATATCTATATCTATATCTATATCTATATCTATATCTATATCTATATCTATATCATCTATATCATCTATATCATCTATATCATCTATATCATCTATATCATCTATATCATCTATATCATCTATATCATCTATATCATCTATATCATCTATATCATCTATATCATATCATCTATATCATATCATCTATATCATCTATATCATCTATATCATCTATATCATCTATATCATCTATATCATCTATATCATCTATATCATCTATATCATCTATATCATCTATATCATCTATATCATCTATATCATCTATATCATCTATATCATCTATATCATCTATATCATCTATATCATCTATATCATCTATATCATCTATATCATCTATATCATCTATATCATCTATATCATCTATATCATCTATATCATCTATATCATCTATATCATCTATATCATCTATATCTATATCTATATCTATATCTATATCTATATCTATATCTATATCTATATCTATATCTATATCTATATCTATATCTATATCTATATATATATATATATATATGTATATATATATATATATACATATATATGTATATATATATACATATATATGTATATATATATCTATATATATATATATATATATATATATATATATATATATATATATATATATATATATATATATATATGTGTGTGTGTGGATGTGTGTGTGTGTCCATTTCATACTCCAATCCATATGCCCACCCCCACAACAAATCTATATGCCCACTTCATACAACAAATCCGTATGGCCACTTCATAAATTCATTTTCTATTATCTCACATTGAAAGAAAAAAAAACTATGAAAAAAATCTTGTTTTTAGAATATCTTGCTTTAATTCATTAAAAATTAAGTTATAAACGGTTTGGCTGCACGTATTAAAATTAAATAACATAAGAATAACATGAACACATGAGTACATTAGTACAGAGTAAATGACTAAAATACAGCAGCTGTGGCGAGTGACATCAGGTCACCCTAACGTTCAAATTGTACTGTCACAACCATGTTTTTTCCAGTTTAAATAATAGAATAGTAGGGGGGGGGGGGTGAGAAGGTGCTATATTGTGTGCAGAGTTTCTTTCAGGCATCTCTTCGCCCCCCACCCTCCGAAGAAAGTCTACCGCCCCCCCCCCCCGAACGAGATGGAATTTATATAGTAAACATATACTTTTACTAGTGTCCTCCCCCCCCCCCCCCGGAGAAAACAGTCTGGAAGAAACACTGATTGTGTGAGTTAGGGTTGGTGGGGGGTGGTGAGAGAGGTGACACAAAACCGAAGGTGCTATATTATGAGGATTTTTTTTATAATATAGCAAAAGCATTATAGCGTACACCTTTACATACATTCATTTCTAGCCTATTAGCCTACATTGATTTTAATCGTCTTTCATAATTTTCTACTCTTTTAGAGGTAAACAATGTTTATTTGATTTTATGTAAAATCAACGTCATGCGATTTTAAATTTAAAAAGCAAATAGTTTTTTACATTGTTAATAATATATTTCCTGCAAGTGGCCTATATACTGGGGTACATTTGTAATTTGACATCAATAAAATGAATAGAAATTCAGCAAACTATTGGCAAGGTCACATACATTGTTATTTGTATGTAGTTGATTTAACACTACAAACATCCGAACACAGAAGCAACCACACCGGGAAACTAACAGCTCTAAAAATAGTTTGATTGTATATTTCCATGATGTGAGCTTTTTTAGATGAAGGAAGGGCGGGGGGGGGGGGGGGATTTCAGGAAATCATGCAATCTTATTTATGGGAGTTAGATCAGCATAACTGTTACATGTTTTACTCCATGGAGCCTATTTATGGAAGTTAGATGTACAAAGGTTTCTATCTACGGAACTGAGACTTGTAGAATAACTGCCACAAATAGTTAAGAAAATACAATCATTTATAAACTCATGCCTCAGAAAGATCCCACAAATTCGTTAACCGCTGTTGCCCCACGTTAAACCAACTAAAGTTAACCTGCTGTATCCCAATATTAAACCTACCTAAGTTAACCTGTTGTTGCCCCATGTTAAACCTACCTAAGTTAACCTGATGTTAAACCTACCTAAGTTAACTTGATGTTGCCCCCTGTTAAACCTACCTAAGTTAACCTGATGTTAAACCTACCTAAGTTAACCTGATGTTAAACCTACCTAAGTTTACCTTATGTTAAACCTACCTAAGTTAACCTGATGTTGCCCCATGTTAAACCTACCTAAGTTTACCTTATGTTAAACCTACCTAAGTTAACCTGATGCTGCCCCATGTTAAACCTACCTAAGTTAACCTTATGTTAAACCTACCTAAGTTAACCTGATGCTGCCCCATGTTAAACCTACCTAAGTTAACCTGTTGTTGCTTCATGTTAAACCTACCTAAGTTAACCTTATGTTAAACCTACCTAAGTTAACCTGATGCTGCCCCATGTTAAACCTACCTAAGTTAACCTGATGTTGCTTCATGTTAAACCTACCAAACTGGGAAATGACTGAGATGGCCACACACAGCAAGTCTGTATCCACCATAACAAATAAACAAGACAGACCCTTACGTGGAATCCACAAGGAAGACCTGGAGACGTGATTTAGAAGATTGGATACACCTTGGGAAAGTAGGAGAGACTAGCACAGGACAAACATGCCGGAAAGCTCTTGAACTAGATACAAGCAAGGTTTAGGTTTAAGTTACAATTAGAACTTCAATTGGAGTCGAAGATTCAAAAATGCCCAAAACCATGATATTAAACTCTTAAAAATCTCTCCGCGATCTTTTTCGGGAATTATAGGATTTAAAAGAGAATTAATTTTATCAAGCAGTCTTTGTAACTTGCTTTCACATTTATCAGTAATAATAATTTTCAACATCTCCGCTTCTTTTTCCAACTCTTTGAAGGCTTCAGTTTCTCTCGATTTATCTTTGATCTCATGTAGCAGGTCGTCTATTAGAGACTGTATGCTCTGGAATGTTTCCTCAGTTGTTTTGTCGGCGACTAGAGCAAACTGGACCTTAGACCTAATCACCTGCAGCCTCTTCTGCATGTCAGATGTGAGTGCCGGGAGGTTCCACTGGAGCAGCAGACGTTCGCGCTCGATATAGCAGGCCTTGAATGTTTCATCCGTGTAACGGCCGTGGACGCTAAGCTTAGAGGCTAGGCTGAACAGTTTCTTGACGCTTTCTTGGCTTTTCTTGTTGACCTCATTCTTCTTGAGCTTGTTGTAAAACAGCACGATCCTGTAGTCACATTCCTGAAACAGTCGCTGTATTGGACCGTTTTGTCTACGACACCAGGTATCGAATGATTCTTCTTCTTCGTCCACTAAATCTCCGTAGGTCATGATTATAATACAATGTTTTTTCACAAAGTCTTGACCGAACATATTCTTAAGGGTGTCGACAGTTTTAACGTCCTCAGCAGTGTATCGATTGGAGTACTTGAGAACTAGAAGAAAGGCATCCAGGCCATCTTTACACTGCCCCATGACCAGCGGCAACTGTTGAGTGATGTTGTCTCTGTCTTGATCTTCTTCTGTGTCCATGAGCCCAGGGGTGTCAACAAGTTCAACAGTCAACCCGTCTCGCTCCACACACCTCATGCTGTTGATCACCGTGCAGGACATCGTGTTGTTTGACCTGATGAACTCCTCTTGTCCGAGAATTGTGTTTCCCGTTCCACTTTTGCCGTTGCCAGTTTTTCCCACTAACACAAAGACCAGCTTCTTCTCATCCTGTGGATACAAAAATATTTATTTAATTAAAAAGACCAGCTTCTTCTCATCCTATGGAAACATAAATATTTAACTACGAGAAAAATGGCCCGTTGAGGAAGGATACAACGGGCGCTAGGTTGATAGTGCTGTCTATTTTCTCGGTACTTTAATTTATACACAATATAGTCATAGGCATATCCCTAAACCATGCACCTAATCTCATTCATGACAAAAGTCGCATTTAGAGTTTCTTTCAGGCAACTCTACTTGGGAGGAGGGGGCTTCGCCAAAACATGTCTACCGCCCCATTCAACGAAATATAATTATATACTTTTTCCAGTGTCCGCCCCCTCCCAGAAAATTCTACCCCCGCCCCCGAAAATTTCAAGTACCCCCACCCCTCTCCGGGGAGGAAAAAGTCTGAAAGAAACCCTGGTCGCATTTGTAGATCAAACAAACTAAAGGAAGAATCTGGGCGGGGCTTCGCCCATACCGGAAGAGATGCTTGAAAAAAAAACTGCACGCTAAACGCTTTTTAGATTTGAAAAAGTTCCCCCCTCCGGGGAGGAAAAAGTCTGAAAGAAACACTGGTGTCGCGCTTAGCCACTACCAGAAGAATTGCATTAAAGACATTGCAAGAAAACCACTTTTTAGATTAGACACATTAATTAGGCGATAAAATCTATTATAGAGTATCGATGAAAAAAATTCTTTTGAGTTGGGGAGGGGGAGGGGGGGGGGGGCTCAGACGTTCTTACGCGGGGGTGGGGCTTCGCCCCTACCCGAAGAATTGTATGAAAGAAACTCTTCACGCAAACCATTTAGATTAGACAAAATTGCCTTTTTATTAAATGTTTACTCGAGAATCAATGACGTCATATTACTGTGTGCACTCTCCGGCTTGAGATTATTTTTTACTATATGCTAAATGTGACGTCATATTTCGTTTTCGTTTCACTGTGAAAGTTTTTAAATTGCTTGTGTTTTCTCTAGAGCGTTCTTGCAGTTACATACACAGATAGATAGATACACAGACAGCGAAACTATTATTATAGATATAAATTTATTAACTATCTTTTTGCTTAAATCTGACCTTTAACAGAACGTTTACAAAAATTAGAAATCCACCTTGCATTTTTTCCTCACCCTATATTTTCAACACTAACATGTCGTCTAAAAATACCACCAACTAATATGACGTCAGAAATTACCACCTGCAATCCTAAATTACAATTCTAACAGAACTTCCCGTTTGTCATCGATTAACTAATATAATACAATATGTGCAAGGTCACATCTCTTAACTGCACCCCTTCATACTCGTAATACACGGTCCCAGTGAATTCACTAGGACCGATATCAACCGGTGTCACTCCTCCCCCCCCCCCCTCCTCCGTCCAACAATTTTCAATTTTTTATTTGGGATCACCCCTCTCACCTACTATTATATTTTATTATAAAATTATAAAATTGTTTTGACATTACATTTTTCAATTTGGTTTCACCACCTAAATGGAGTCACCCGTTGCGGACCGTACCCCCCGCTCTCGCCATGTAAAGCTACTGCCAGTGACGGTATAAGGGCGGGTGTCACCCGGTACGGTGAGATTGTGACCCCACATCCTAAACTTAGCTGTTCTGGTATACTGTCACCTTTCTCCCCTTCTATTACTTTACTGGCAAGTAGTTAATCTTTTATCTCCCCTTTTATTATTGCAATTTAAATTACATTTTAATGACTAATCTTATGTCTAATTAGATTAAAAATCAGATACTCGTGCAATACCATTTGAGACCAAATGCATCTGGAAAATTTGAAAGAAATCACTGCATGAGAAGTGGGATGAAATTGAGCTACAAGATCCACCCTAAACCCACAAACGAAATAAAAGCGTGTAATGAGCGTGTGAGAGAGAGAGGGAGGGGTAGGTTACTTTTGGACAGCCTATGGGACAAGAGGAAAGGAAGGGGGGGGGGGGGTGATACTGTGGACTCAGTGGTCAGGTACAGAAAAGACGGGAAACAAAAAAGAAAATTGAGTAAACCTACTAGACCAAACCTATCCTTAACATCTAGTAGACATTAACATCTCTGGACAAGCAATCGAGGTGGAGAACTATGACAACCAAAAGTGACTGAAAAAAATCTAAGAAGCAAACGGGAGGATGACATACATGGTGCTAAGTGAAGTTGCTATAGGTTCAACAAGCGAACGTGAACGTGTATATAACGATACATGGAAGAAGATAGGAGCGACACTTTAAAAAGCACTAGAGCCAAAGCCCTTTACAGTAAAAATAGCTGGTAGCACAGAATAGGTTGCCAGCTATCTTGTACAGTGCAAGCTTACTGCTAGCAAATCGGCAGGGGTTTATCATCACGTCTTTTACAAGCTCTACAATAAAAGAATCAAAATATCTTGGAAAGTGATTAAGGATCTGCTGGAGGTAACAAGCGGTAGGCCTCAGTGATCTTTCAGACATTTTTTTTCTCCTGAAAAAAATGGAGGGGGGGGGGGCGGTCTTAATTTTACGAGGGTTGGGGGTAGACACTGGTAAAGTTAGTATATCGATTTTCTTATGATATAAAGCATGATTAGATCACGTAGTCACAAAGTATGAAATCTCAAATATACTAAAAAAAAAACAACACATACCATGATTTCAGGCTAGAAATGTATGCTGCAAGCCAGGCTGTAAAACACAAACGTGTGTCCTACATTGCTAACCTACTTTTGCTTAAACGCTCAATGTTAGATCGGGATTTGTTCTATTAGGTTTCACGATTACGATACTCTTTGGCCTGTACTGCTGTACGTTGTAGCAGAAATAAATAAATACATTAATTAATTATTTAATTAATACAAAAATAAATTAATGATAAATAAATGAAGAAAGAAAGAAAGAAAAATTATATATATATATATATATATATATATATATATATATATATATATATATATATATATATATATATATATACATATATATATATATATATATATATATATATATATATATATATATATATATATATATATATATATATATATATTAGAAAGAAAAAATGTGTAAAAAACCTTAATATAACAAACTTTTAAATGAAAATTTAAATTCCAGTAAAAATAAAGTAAAAATCGGGCGCTGGTCCCTAAACTGTTATGTTTTCTACATCTCTTGTTCATTTAAAGCTTGTTTTAAATGAACAAATCCTACAAGTATCGATTGTAACTGATGTGTCGTAGTGTAATGTATTATTTCTGTTATGTTAGAAGATTGTAGCATTTAAACAATCTTTTTAAAGTAGTCGGTTCTAATGTGAGTATCGAACTAATCGATCACTTTGTTTAGTCAACCTGTAGGCTACGTTCGTTTTCTGGGAAAATAAGTTTCCAGTGAAAAATAACATTGGGAATTCATGCGGTGAGATGTAGTAGTACTAGGATAAAGAGGATGTCCTGATAGTAGAGAGGTTGTGTGATAGTTATATGGGGGGCGGAGAATAGTGCTAAACAAATGGGCGGAGAATGGTGCTAAACAAATGGGCGGAGAATGGTGCTAAACAAATGGGCGGAGAATGGTGCTAAACAAATGGGCGGAGAATGGTGCCAAACATATGGGCGGAGAATGGTGCTAAACAAATGGGCGGAGAATGGTGCTAAACAAATGGGCGGAGAATGGTGCTAAACGTATGGGCGGAGAATGGTGCTAAACATATGGGCGGAGAATGGTGCTAAACATATGGGTGGAGAATGGTGCTAAACATAAAACATATGGTCGGAGAATGGTGCTAAACATATGGGCGGAGAATGGTGCTAAACATATGGGCGGAGAATGGTGCTAAACGTATGGGCGGAGAATGGTGTTTAACATAAAACAAATGGGCGGAGAATGGTGCTAAACAAATGGGCGGAGAATGGTGCTAAACAAATGGGCGGAGAATGGGGCTAAACATAAAACAAATGGGCGGAGAATGGTGCTAAACATATGGGCGGAGAATGGTGCTAAACGTATGGGCGGAGAATGGTGCTAAACATAAAACAAATGGGCGGAGAATGGTGCTAAACATATGGGCGGAGAATGGTGCTAAACGTATGGGCGGAGAATGGTGCTAAACATAAAACAAATGGGCGGAGAATGGGGCTAAACATAAAACAAATGGGCGGAGAATGGTGCTAAACAAATGGGCGGAGAATGGTGCAAAACATATGGGCGGAGAATGCTGCTAAACAAATGGGCGGAGAATGGTGCTAAACATAAAACAAATGGGCGGAGAATGGTGTTAATTATATGGGCGGAGAATGGTGCTAAACAAATGGGCGGAGAATGGTGCCAAACATATGGGCGGAGAATGGTGCTAAACAAATGGGCGGAGAATGGTGCTAAACAAATGGGTGGAGAATGGTGCTAAACAAATGGGCGGAGAATGGTGCTAAACATATTGGCGGAGAATGGTGCTAAACAAATGGGCGGAGAATGGGGCTAAACATAAAACAAATGGGCGGAGAAAGGTGCTAAACATATGGGCGGAGAATGGTGCTAAACGTATGGGCGGAGAATGGTGCTAAACATAAAACAAATTGGCGGAGAATGGTGCTAAACATATGGGCGGAGAATGGTGCTAAACGTATGGGCGGAGAATGGTGCTAAACATAAAACAAATGGGCGGAGAATGGGGCTAAACATAAAACAAATGGGCGGAGAATGGTGCTAAACAAATGGGCGGAGAATGGTGCTAAACAAATGGGCGGAGAATGGTGCTAAACAAATGGGCGGAGAATGGTGCAAAACATATGGGCGGAGAATGGTGCTAAACAAATGGGCGGAGAATGGTGCTAAACATAAAACAAATGGGCGGAGAATGGTGCTAAACATAAAACAAATGGGCGGAGAATGGTGTTAATTATATGGGCGGAGAATGGTGCTAAACAAATGGGCGGAGAATGGTGCCAAACATATGGGCGGAGAATGGTGCTAAACAAATGGGCGGAGAATGGTGCTAAACAAATGGGTGGAGAATGGTGCTAAACAAATGGGCGGAGAATGGTGCAAAACATATGGGGGGAAAATGGTGCAAAACAAATGGGCGGAGAATGTTGCTAAACATATTGGCGGAGAATGGGGCTAAACATAAAATAAATGGGCGGAGAATGGTGCTAAACAAATGGGCGGAGAATGGGGCTAAACATATGGGCGGAGAATGGTGCTAAACAAATGGGCGGAGAATGGTGCTAAACAAATGGGCGGAGAATAGTGCTAAACAAATGGGCGGAGAATGGTGCAAAACATATGGGGGGAAAATGGTGCAAAACAAATGGGCGGAGAATGTTGCTAAACATATTGGCGGAGAATGGGGCTAAACATAACATAAATGGGCGGAGAATGGTGCTAAACAAATGGGCGGAGAATGGTGCTAAACATATGGGCGGAGAATGGTGCTAAACATATGGGCGAAGAATGGTGCTAAACATATGGGCGGAGAATGGTGCTAAACATATGGGCGGAGAATGGTGCTAAACATAAAACAAATGGGCGGAGAATGGTGTTAATTATATGGGCGGAGAATGGTGCTAAACAAATGGACGGAGAATGGTGCTAAACATAAAACGGTCCTAGGACCTTTGACCACAGGTGCTTTTACCATAGGGGGTTTGACCATAGGGGGTTTGACCACAGCGGAGCTTTGACCATAGGGGCTTTGACCATAGGGGGTTTGGCCATAGCGGGCCTTTGACCATAGCGGTGCTTTGACCATAGGGGATTTGATCATAGGGGGTTTGACCATAGGGGGTTTGACCACAGGTGTTTTCTCAGCAGAGGGTCTTTGATCACATGTGGTCTATCAACTCGTGTTTGATCACAAGCGCTGTATCCGGCTTTGATCATAGGTGTTTTGTCCACATATATGGTAAGGATTTATTTTAAAAGTTGCTAAATTATATTTTAAATTTCGACATGATGTAATATGTTAAATCATCATGTATAAATACAAGTCATCTAAACTACTCTATGTCAATTTGTTAACGGCATCAACCCTGCTGCGTTATACTGTCTCTTGCCAAATAAAACACTACCCAGCTGAGAAGCGATACAAGATGCTGCACGAAAAAGTACAACGTGCTGTCCAGATATATGGTCAAACAGATGTACTGACATATTTGCGTGCTATAGCACATTTGTCATTTAGTTAACCATTTTATGTATTACATCTTTGACTATATTGTTGGCAAGTTTTGTATCATTTTTTATCCTTTATATATGCTATGTATTTTCAAGTACATCTACATTTGTGAAACTTGTTATATAACGCATTATTTGTGATTCATTTATATTTAAAATAAATCTATGAGGCCTAGCACCAGCCTTTATGTGGAGACTAAAATATAGTTCTTGGCTTTTTTTAATACATGTTAATTTCTATTTACGTACTCTCAGGAAACATGTATAAAATCGTGTTAATTGAATCACACCTATGATCAAAGCCGGACACAGCGCTTGTGATCAAACACCAGTTGATAGACCACCTGTGATCAAAGACCCTCTACTGAGAAAACACATGTGGTCAAACCCCCTATGGTCAAACCCCCTATGATCAAACCCCCTATGGTCAAAGCACCGCTATGGTCAAAGGCCCGCTGTGGTCAAACCCCCTATGGTCAAAGCCCCTATGGTCAAAGCTACGCTGTGGTCAAACCCCCTATGGTCAAACCCCCTATGGTCAAAGGTCCGCGCACCCATAAAACAAATGGGCGGAGAATAGTGCTAAACAAATGGGCGGAGAATGGTGCTAAACAAATGGGCGGAGAATGGTGCTAAACATAAAACAAATGGGCGGAGAATGGTCCTAAACAAATGGGCGGAGAATGGTGCTAAACAAATGGGCCGAGAATGGTGCTAAACATAAAACAAATGGGCGGAGAATGGTGCTAAACAAATGGGCGGAGAATGGTGCTAAACAAATGGGCGGAGAATGGTGCTAAACGTATGGGCGGAGAATGGTGCTAAACAAATGGCCGGAGAATGGTGCTAAACATATGGGCGGAGAATGGTGCTAAACAAATGGGCGGAGAATGGTGCTAAACAAATGGGCGGATAATGGTGCTAAACAAATGGGCGGAGAATGGTGCTAAACAAATGGGCGGAGAATGGTGCTAAACAAATGGGCGGATAATGGTGCTAAACAAATGGGCGGAGAATGGTGCTAAACATATGGGCGGAGAATGGGGCTAAACATATGGGCGAAGAATGGTGCTAAACATATGGGCGGAGAATGGTGCTAAACATATGGGCGGAGAATGGTGCTAAACATAAAACAAATGGGCGGAGAATGGTGCTAAACATATGGGCGGAGAATGGTGCTAAACATAAAACAAATGGGCGGAGAATGGTGCTAAACAAATGGGCGGAGAATGGTGCTAAACAAATGGGCGGAGAATGGTGCTAAACAAATGGGCGGATAATGGTGCTAAACAAATGGGCGGAGAATGGTGCAAAACAAATGGGCGGAGAATGGTTCTAAACAAATGGGCGGAGAATGGTGCTAAACAAATGGGCGGAGAATGGTGCTAAACAAATGGGCGGAGAATGGTGCTAAACATATGGGCGGAGAATGGTGCTAAACATATGGGCGGAGAATGGTGCTAAACTTATGGGCGGAGAATGGTGCTAAACAAATGGGCGGAGAATGGTGCTAAACATATGGGCGGAGAATGGTGCTAAACATATGGGCGGAGAATGGTGCTAAACATA